GTGATCATGCTTCATTTGAGCCAAAACAGGCTGCGGAGGAGGCGGCGGGCGGGAGCAGTCGCGGGGCGGTGCCTCCGCGAAAAAGCCGGGGGGGGCGAGGAAGAGGAGAGGTAACTGCAGGGCTGCGCCTCTGCAAGGTGAGGGGCAGGGGCGGGGCGGGCGCAGGATGATGGGACGAGGCAGGATGGGGATGATGAGGGGCAGCTGCAGGGCCGCGCCTCTGCACATGCATTTTTTGACATTTTTTGATACCCCGCGTCACGCTGGTCCCAAGGGCTCAATCAGCCCGTCTGCGTGCTCAACTTTCAAATGAATCCCACCAGCCCCCTGGGCGTAAGTGGTTCAGGGAGTTTCCTCTTCCATCGTCCCTTCTTCCCCTTCGGGGGGGGTTTACCCCTCTCCCTAAACCCCCTCCCCTGGATCTGGACGGGGTTTCGCTGGTAGTTGGGAGCGTCCAAGATGGCCCAAGATGGCTCCAAGAGGGCCTCGGAGAGCCCAATATGACCTCCAAGATGGCTCAAGACAGCCCAAGACGCCTCCAGATGGCCCCGAGGACGCCCCAAAAGGCCCCAAGACCGCCCCACGACTACTCAAATTGGCCACTTAGCCTCCCAAGGGGGCCTCCCAAGAGGCCAACATGGCTCCAACGCCTAAGGAAAATCAAAGTATTTTGCGTTCTCGCCTTTTCGTTTCCGATGGCCATTCGAGGCCTCAAGATGGTTCCAAGAGGGCCCAAACGGGCCCCAAGAAGGGCCCAACATGGCCCCAAGACGGCCCTAAGAGCGCCCAAGAGCGCCCCAAGAGCGCCCCAAGAGGGGTCCAAGAGGCGATGTTAGAGGCCACCGAGGGGGGCGCTAATTGGGGCGCCCCCAAGGCCCCCAAGAACGCCCCAAGAGGGCCTCAAGAGGCGCCTAGGAGGCCCCAAGAGGTACCCAAGAGGCCTTCAAAGGGGCTCCCTAGACCCCCAATGGGCCTCGAGAGGATCACCGAGGCATCCAAGACTCCCCCAGGCGCCCCAAGATGACCCCAAGACAACTTCCAAGGGACATCCTAGGAGGCTCTTGTGCACGTCATTGGTTTTGTTCCTTCTCATCGTTCTCCTCCTCCTCCTCCTCCTTGTCGGCCTACCCCTTATCAGCCTCATCCTCCTCCTCCTTCTTTCCTCTTCTCTTCCTCCCCCTCCTCATCCTCCTCCTCCTCGCCCTCCCCCCCATCATCCGCCTATCCCCCCTCCTCCCCCCTCCCCCCTCCCACTTTTTACCGCCTGCTGCCCCTCCTCCCTCTCCTCCTCCTCATCCTCCTCCTCGTCCTCCTCCGACTCCTCCTCCATCCTCGCCATCTTGGGTAAGACGGGTCCCCAGCCCTTTGCTACTCTGTATGCTCCCTCGCTCCCCTGATCACCGCAATTCGCCTGGGCATCGTTTTTGGATGGGCTGGGGGGGGGTGCGCGAAGCGTCAAGAATTGACTTAACGTTACCAATATCCACAAAAACAAAATAATCTGTGATACGATGCAGGTTCCCTCCCGCATGTTCCAACAATTGAACAATCAGCAATATCCTGTTCATGTAAGCGCGCTTCTCCACGGCTTGCACGCACAGCTGCACGCGAGCATAAACGGTGGACCCGCACTGCGCCTCCAATGCCAATACATCACCTGATCTCAAAATGAAGTGCTCCCATCTTGCCTTCAGCGATGTGAAAACACCTGTGTTTGATATGTGGCTTGGGAGGAAATCTGAAAACTCACGCGTAAGCTTTGGCACGCTGCCCCTGCGGTGTAACAATTCAGTTTTGACGAAAGATGACGCGTCAAGGCGGTCCTCGAGATCCAAAATCAAACGGCAGAGAATTGAGGTCGAGGACTCATTATTTGAATTCCCAGCATGCGTATAGTGTGAGGCAGCTTTGATGAGCAATCTGTTTCTCCGTTCGTTTGACCAGCATGCCAATCCGAACCCAACGGTTTGCAAACATTTGGGGATGTGGTGTTGCAAGTGCGCTTTGATTTTGAATATATTTCTTGAATACAGTGACTGTGTGCGCGTGTGGTAGTTCGTAATCATCCCTGCCAGTTCATCTGACCTTTGCACTGCTTTATTCCCTGATCGCAGAATCGAAATAATATCATATGCTAAACAAATCGCACGGGATTCGTCCACGAGCACGCCTTCAGGTAAGAGGTTGCGCAAACAAAAATAATTCATGAAGCACAGAACTGTGAGCATATCGCTTGCGAATCCTTTCATGTGGTTGTCGCGGCTCTGGACCACGTGCTTTCTGAAAAAGGAACCACCGAGCGATCGGATTTGCGATTTGTTGCAATCGATAAACTCAACAAGTTGTTCATCGAGCATGGCCAATGTTATTCCTGCCGCCATGATATCCAAACACATTTCGTTGAGGTGGTACTGCATGAACCCACCGCTGGTACAATAAATGTGCATCCAGTCCCAACACACGGACGAAATTGGCTTGTAAACACGCCGAAGGTCCAAATCGAAAGGGAGTGCGTCCGAGTTGTAGGTGATACCCAACATCTGCTGTGATGTTTGAAATTCAGCGTTGTTTTCAATGGCGGAACGGGCTGTCAGATCGTCGCACATTTCCCAAACGGATTCGTCGGTGTGGAGGTCGAACCTGTCGGGTTCGGGCACCGAAAAATGCATGCAATAATGCCCCAGTGGAATCTGAAAGGCGGTATCATATTTAACGTTTGGATTGTTTGTTCGGTTTCCTCGTCAGTTTTTCATTGTCCCCGTCCGGCTTCTCCACCTTCCCCCTTCCTCGTCCTCCTCGTCCTTCCTCGTCACCACAGTCAACCCGCGCGATAAGGGTGATTTTCTTCCTCCTCATCCTCCTCCTCGTCGTCCTCCTCCTCGTCCTCCTCCTGCTCCTCCCCCTCCTCGTCCTCCACGTCCCCCCCCCTCCTCCTCCTCGGCGTCCCTACAGTTAAATTGACACCGCCCGCGGGCGCCTCGTCAAACGGCGTGTTCAACACGTTGGCACACATTAGGCAACATTTTGACCCAGACGCGCCCTTGACAGACGCCACCTGCTTGTGGCCCTTTTCGTCCTGAAGCACAGCTGCCAAACGGCCTGTGATACGAATGAACCCAACACTGCCCATTCGCAGACGAATGCCGCGTTCAAAGTTCTGGTGGCCCAGAAAGAAAAATCGAAGAACGTGTCTTATAATACCAGACTCCTCTGCTTTTACACTTTTGACTGCATCATGTGATAGAACTCCTATCGGCCACCACCCGTGGTCACTGTTCCTGAAAAATTCTGGTAACTCAGCAATGCACCAATACGTTGATAAAAAATTCCTCTTCATGTCTGATCTCAATTGGTTGCCAGACGTCGTCTCGTCTGACCAAATAACCACACTTGCTTCGCGATGTGCTAAATGCGCGTGCAACATTTGGCCGAACTTGTAGTTTTTTTCGCACATGAAATCTAATAGGGCAAACGGGCAACATACGTGCCAATCCAGGAAACCACCAGCTTTCAATGGCAATTTAATTGTCTTCACAATCGTTCCATACTGTGTTGAGATGCCAGAAACAAAACGAGTTATGTCAGCAGCAATGTTACTCAATGGCAAATCTTCGTCATGGTCGCATCGACGCAACTCTCGAGAAATCTTCCCAATAGTTTGCAAAGGAATGCCAAGGCCAAGGGCTTGCACCAATGAAACTACGCGGGGTTTCTTTGGACCGTGCATTCGGCCGCTTGTCGAGCCAAGCGGCTAAGGGCGCGGAGAAAGGGCAGAGCCTCCATGGCCGAAGGGGCAGAGCCTCCATGGCAGAGGCAACACTTAGCCGAACTTATCTTATACTTAGCCGAACTTGCCCGTACTTATCAAAAACTTATCTACACTTTTCAAAAACCTATCAACATTTATTGAAACATAACTTGGACTTAGCGTTAGATATCATACGACTTATGAACAACTTATGATAAGTACTGCTAACTACACTTGCAAGTGCCTAAGTGCAGGAGTTCCCGAAGTGGGTCAGCTGACCCGGTGACCCGGTGACCCGGTGACCCGGTGGGCTGGGTCAGCTGACCCGGTGACCCGGTGACCCGGTGACCCGGTGGGCTGGGTCAGCTGACCCGGTGACCCGGTGCGGTGACCCGGTGACCCGGTGACCCGGTCAGCTGACCCGGTGACCCGGTGACCCGGTGGGCTGGGTCAGCTGACCCGGTGACCCGGTGACCCGGTGGGCTGGGTCAGCTGACCCGGTGACCCGGTGACCCGGTGACCCGGTGGAGTGGGTCAGCTGACCCGGTGACCCGGTGACCCAATTTAAAAAAAAAACCTCTAGTCCGGAGGCTTCCGGGGGTCCTGGATCGCCTGGGGGGGGGGTTCCAGGACGGGCCGACTCGCCCTGGCGGGGGTCGGTCCGAGCGGTGGAATCGCCCGGGGGGGTCTCCGCCAATCAGTGCCTGCACGAGTCGCCCGGGGTGGTCTCGCGCGGGAACAGCCCTCGCGCATCGCCCAAGGGGGTCCCACGGGGGCGAGGTAGCCCGGGGGGGCGCCTGGGAGGACAGTGCACGGCGCGAAGGGTTCCCGCAAATCTTTCGCGGGACTCTCGCGAATTCGTCGCGGGGGGCCCGGGCTCTCGCGAATTTTTAGCGGGGGGCGCAACGGTCTGGACAGTCGCGCAGGGGGGGGGGGGGGGGCGAAGAAGAGAGGAGGGGAAGTCCGATGCCAAAGCCTCGAGGGCCACCTCCGGAGCCAAGCGAATGACGGACAATTGGAGCAGGGAGCAGCTAAGGATAGAGAAGGGGGGCGAAGGATAAGAGCCGGAGGGGAGCGCGAGCGGCGCACCGAGGAGCAGAAGCGGAGAGAGAGGTAGTTCTCCGGTTGATCACGCCAAGAGAAGGGCGAGGTTGATGACTAAATTCAGGCTCTGACTTTGCACACGTAAGAGATGGATGACGACCTCGACTTGTCCCCGCCGCGCCCGGAAGTACATCAAATATCTTCGCCAATGGCACCGGGCACTCCGGAGGAGGCAGCGGCGCAGCCGCCAACGCTCCAGCAGATCGCGAATCTTTTGAAGCAGGAGGTGCAGCCACTTCGGAAGGCGGTGGAGGGCTTAGAGCGCAAAGTGACAGAGATCGGAGGGACCATGGGGGAGAGGATGACGGAGGTAGAGAGCAAGATGGAGAACATGGACGCGCGCCTGACGCACTTGGAAACCAGTTCGGCGGGTTCCCGGACAGATGCAGAAGTGCGAGAACAGTTGAAGATGCTGGAGGCCCAGATCTCGGAGCTCAAGCTGATGGACAACACGCAGAAGAGCAATGGGAACCAATACGAGGAGTACACTGCGGTGGTCGGTGGCCTTCAGACGATCGGCAGCACGGAGAACGCGAAGAAGTGGATAGAGGCGAACATGTGGGACCTCTACGGGCCGCAGCCGGCAGAGGTGTACTCTAAAAGGCAGTTTCGTGGTCTCATCTTCGTTCGATTCAGGAGCCGTGCTGACAGGGACACTACCGTGAAACTCCTCCGCCAGGCCTCTCTCAAGGAGGGCGGGAACGATATTTGGGCAAAGAGGGACATGATCCTCACGTCTTTCGCGTTTAGCGTCAAACACCTTCTCAAGCAGTGGGGCTTCACGGCCGAGAGCGTCTGTCTGGGCGGACCCGGAGGGCACGGTGTGGGTCGGTGCCGATGTGGCGGCGAGCGGGAGGATCGTGGGCAACAAGTTTGAGACCGACTTTGGCACGGGCTGGGAGGAATGGTTCAAGCAGGACGGCTACACCAACTTCCAGGACTTGGTCGCGAACCTCAACGCCAAGCTCGGCAAGATCCCGTCCAAAGGCCTCGGGAAAGGGAAGGGGAAAGGGAAGGCTGCCGCCAAGGGCAGCAAGTAGGGGCGCCAACTGTGCGTAAGCAATGACGTTTCACCTGCAGTATGTGGACATCCAGCTGGCCAAGCCACGTTGTCACTTTCTGCGGCTCGGGGTGGTCGTTTACGCCCTGCCACGGCTGACGAATTCAACATTGCATCTTGGAACATCGAAGGGCATACAGACTCGAAACAAATTGAGCTAGAATCCATAATGGATCAATTAAATATCAAGATCTTGTGCCTACAGGAGACATGGACATCAAAGTCTATCACGTACGTCACGGATTCCGGCTACCTCGTTGTCCTTTCCGGCGGCGCGGGAGACCCAGAGGACGAGCGGGCTGGAGTGGGCTTCATCGTACATCCAAGTTTCAGGCACTCTGTGGTTGGATTTTGCCAGGCGACGGACCGCATGGCATCGCTCAAGCTTCGGATCCCAGGAGGTAAAGCTGTTATTTTCTCTGCATACGCGCCGCACAGCGGTTACGAGTTCCGGCGGCGGTTTGACTTCTTCACGAGCTTGTCAGAATTCGTTTCCACAAGATCCGCTCATGGACCCAAGCTTGTGTTAGGAGACATGAATGCAAAGTTGTATGGCCAACTCGATGGAGAGAGTGACGCGGTGGGGCCCTACATTTTTAAGCACCCCCACCAGACGTGCAAGGAAGACGCCAACCAGCACCTCATGGTTGAGATGTGCGAGAATCTGAGCATGTGCGTTGCAAACACATTTTTTGACGTGCTGGATCACAACCTTGTCACTAACTACAACGTGGGTACGCCTGCCGGGATACAAATTGGATCCTCGACGCACTCGCAGATCGATTTCGTACTCTGCGAGAGGACTTTTCTCGAGGACATCACTGGCGTGGCTGCTAGGCACGACGTGCCGTTGTCGACCCATCATTTCTTGTTGACTGCGTGTGTCCGTATGTCAGTTGAGAAGACGGCGCCTGCGAGTCAGAGTCCACGCCTTGATGTCACAGCCCTCTCCGACCCACTCGCCGCTTGTTTTTTCAACGTGAACATGTTGAATGCTTTGGAGGGCTTCGAGGACACAGCAGCTGGAGGCGAGGATGTCGATCTTGGTTGGAGTCGTATCGTGGACGGTTTTCATCACGCTGCCGAACGCACGTTGCCATTCCTTCCGAGGCGGACCACAAGGCCGTGGACGAGCGCGGAACGCTGGGGCTGATCGAGCGCCGTGGGAGCGCCAGAAGGCAGGGCGACACTGACGAGGAGAAGCGCCTGTCGAAGAAAATCCGCGCTTCGGTTGCCAGGGACAAGGCCGCTTGGATCGAATCGGTCACGGAATCCGCTGATTGGAATCAGATTCGGAGGCTCCGGAAAGGCCCTGTCCGCAGACAGGGCAGGCTTCGTGACGTCAACAAGGGCATTGTGGAGACGGACCAGCGTGCTGAGACTCTGGCCGACTACCTCGAGAGGGTGCAGTGGGCAGTCAGACCCACGTCAGTGGCACCGCCAGTTGCTGCCCGGATTGCCGACAACGACCTGCCCATCTCCATGGGTGATATCACAGTGGGGGAGGTGAAGGCCGCAGCTGCGAAATTGAAGCGAGGACGCGCTTCTGGCCTTGACGGGGTGCCACCCGAATTCTGGAAAGCAGCGGCGAGCGACGCGGGAGGTCTCCCGAGCTATCTGGCAAAATTCTACACCGACGTTTGGAGACAAGGTAAGATCCCAGAAGCTTGGAGGCATGCGAGGGTGTCGATGCTGTTCAAGAAGGGCGACCCTGCAGAATGCGAGAACTACCGCCCCATCAGTATCTCGCCCATCGGCTACAAATTGTTCGCAACCATCCTGCTCCAGAGGCTGAAGCAGGCGGGGGCCGAAGACCGCATCTGGCGAACCCAATTCGGGTTCCGCTCCGGGCGGGGCACGGCAGACGCAGTGTTCCTAGCCCGCCGGGTGCTGGACGACACATGGTCAACACGAGATGCAAGTCGCTTGTTCCTGGCACTCGACTGGGCCAAGGCATTCGATTCGGTCTCGCCGAACGCTCGCCGGGTCTTTGCGGAGATTTGGTTGCCCAGAAGTTTTCGTGGACGTCGTCGTGTCGATTTACAGCGAGCGCAAGTTCGTCGTGAGGGACTTCGGGGCCACGTCCAGCATCCATCAGCAGAGGTACGGCATATGCCAAGGCTGTCCGCTGTCCCCTTTTCTGTTCACCATTGTGATGACGACGCTCCTCACGGACGCGCACGCTCTGCTTCAGAGTCGTGCCGGACCGATACCTGAAAACCAGTTTGCGAGGGAGCTCGTGTACGCGGACGACACGTTGCTCATAGACTCCGACCCAGCCCTCGTTCAAGAGCTGATGCGCTGCATTGAGGAGTGCGGAGGCCAGTGCGGGCTGCAGTTCAATTGGGGCAAGTTGGAACTTATGAAAGTAAGGACCGAAGCTGATATTTTGGGACCCAACGAGGTCCCCATCCCAGCCAAGCAATCATTAATTTATCTCGGGACGTCTCTTGCTGCGGACGGGCGCATAGGCACAGAACTGAGTCGGAGAATTGGGGCGGCCAGAAGTGACTTCAAGGCGCTTGCAAGAATATGGTCGCATTCGACTTTGAGTAGGAGACAGAAACTACATATATTGAATGCTTGCATTGTTTCCAAACAAACGTATGTATTATTCACTGCGTGTCTTAACCAGGCCGAGCGAAAACGGCTCGACGGGTTCCAGAATTATTGTCTCAGACGTATTTGCAGAGTCTCTCCGTCGTACATCAGTCGGGTGTCGAACCGTGCAGTTCTGCAGATCAGCCAACAGACGCCTCTGAGCCATAGTCTTGCGCGTAGACAGATGTTGTACATGTGCCATTTGGCGAGAAGACCAGACGAAGATCCAATCAGAAGCTCGGTATTTGAGCCGGGCGGTCTGGTTCTCAAGAGCCTTCTTGGGAAAAGGAGAAGAGGCCGCCCGAGACAGTCTTGGGGGCCCATGGTGCTGAAGAACTGCTTGAATGTTGCCGGCTCCCATGAGCGACTTGCTGATTACTTCCGCCGAGAGGGCGGTGCAGCTCGCAGGTGGGAGCAGGCGGTCAAGGCATGGGCGGCGTGCTGAAGGCATCCGTTTCCGTGCACATTTTCACCCATAGCTCTCGCGCTGTGGCCGGCGCAAGGCTTCTGGACTGGACTGGACTGGCGAGGTCTGAAGAAAAGGAGCGTGGACAGGCCCGTAGATGCGGCAAAACCAATCACCCGAATCGTCGACCGAAACGAGCCCATATCCAGCACGAGACAATTCGGCGATCTCATGACGGAAGCAACTGCCGTTCAAGAACATCTGGCCCGAGATCGCGCCACCGTCCTGTGTGGGGGGCTCAGCAAGAAGGAGGAGGAAGAGGAGGAGGAGGAGGAGGAGGAGGAGGAGGAGGAGGAGGAGTAGGAGAAGCAGGTGGAGGGCTGGGAGGAGAAAGAGGAGGAGGGGGAGGGCAAGGGTCGGGGGGGGGAATAGACTCACGTGGGGGGGGGGGGGGCATCCGCCCGGCATCGCCCGTTCACCGCCGATGAGGGGGTCCCGACAGCCGGCCCCTCCCAGGATCGATCGCTGGTGTGCATCAGCAGGGGAAAAGACACACGGACACAGCGAATCGTCGATCCCCAGGAATATGCTGGAAAATGTGGGAAGTGGGGCGGGAAGACGAAGGTCCAAAAAATGTGGGAACATGCGGGGAATCCGGGGATTTGTGTGTATATTTGTTCGTGCGTCCCTGGCCCCTCTGTAGCTGTATCGTCGAACCCGGGTCGATATCTTCCCTCCTGAGCTGCCCCCCTCACGTTGCCCGTGGCCGGTTGGCACCCGGCAGGAGGAGGAGGAGGAGGAGGAGGAGGCGGAGGCGGAGGAGGAGGAGGAGGAGGCGGAGGAGGAGGCGGAGGAGGAGGAGGAGGAGGAGGACGAGGAGGAGCAGGAGGACCCAGACCTCCAGCGTCGTGAGACCACCTTCTCCGCGGCGGAGAGGCCCTCTCCCCGCCGCTGTCGGCCCCTCGGGAGGCCGGCCTCGGGCCTTGGGCTCGGCGCGGCTCTCCGGGGGGGCAGGGCCGGCCCCCGGCGGAGGGGCGAGCGGGTCGGGATCCCCGGGTGCCCCTCGCGGGGGCCTTCGGGGGCCCCCGGACGGTGCGGTGTCCACACCGTGCGGTGAGCCTCCCGGCTCAGTGGATGACTGCTGAGCCAGGAGGCGCCCGTGTCTCGAGGAGTGGGCCCAGCGGCGGAACCGGAACCGGCTGCATGCAGCAGATTTCGTAACCCCTCCTTTCCCTATCTAAAACAGGGCTAGGATCGGGATAAATCGCTCCAGAGCGTTCCGGGGCGCTCTCAGAGCGTTCCGGAACGCTCTGGAGCGGCCGCGGCGCCCAATACATCCTCCAAACCCGCCGATTCTCAGAGGTTTCGAGTTATCCCGATCCGATTTTGTCCCGATCTTCGTGTCGTTTTACTATCCCCCCCCTTTCGTCCGGCCCGACACGCTCAGAGCAGAGAGCTGGCACCGCATGTTGCAGTCGCTGGGGTCCGAATGCGCACAATCTGTCGTCCGTGCAGATGCCTTGGCACGCCCGATCGGCGGCAAGCATACGGCTGAGACGCTGATTGAATTGCTCCATGGACCCATGAGGCAGCAAGCGTGGAAAGGTGAAACAGAACTCGAACGTGCTAGAAATTAAATCACGCTCCACGCTGGGTAGCACCATTGCGACGTCTCTGCGACTGGGGACTCCAGCCACACACCTCGGAAAACGGCGTCCAACCCGACACAAACAAACTCTGTATCGCGGCGTGCGGACCTCGGATGGTCCTGGAGCGCGAATTTTGCCACACGTCAGGTCCCTGCACGAGTAAAACATACACTTTGTTCATTTCAATGGCAGCTGGTCTGTAGCCTTGATTGGTTCATGCATCTACCCTTCACTGAGGCCTTCGGGGCGCCACGCGAAGGTTTCACCAACTGACTGTCTTAGTTCTCTCCGGCGCAACAAAGCAAATGACAATGCTTGTTGATTTGTTATGGAGATTCCTCACTTTGACAACCATCACTTTACCTGGGCTCAACCACTAAGCCTCATAACGTAATACCATGTATGTTGTTGTTTCAGTAGGCGCTTGGCAGCGTAGTTAACCAATCGCGTACCTACAACGTTGGCAATCGCTCGCATGCTAAATAACCATGCCTTGCCGTGCTCTGCCGTCAAGCTTGAGGACATTCTAGCCATGTTTCGCAGTAGGCGCTCCTAAATCGCGCGGGTCCCCTCGGCCTGTAAAAACCACCGGTATCACTGGTCCAATTCCTGAAGATCTTCGGTAAGATACTCGGCGAACACGATGTGAGGCTGGGATGGGGGATCCCGCCAAGCCTTTAGGGCACGAGTCGTCTAGAGCGTTTCTTCTGCTAACCCTCTTTACCCTTTGTCCATTCCCTGTGATTTGTTCGGTCTCGTGCGTGACTTTTTCGCAGGATGATCCAGGATGCTCCTTACCCTGACCTTCCCGGAGGGCTACAAAAATAGCACCAGGACCTCGATGCCACAATTTCTGTCGAGGTTTTGGGCAGCACAGATAGGTCTATAGGTCTGGAGGGCTATTTCTAGCACTCCGGAAGGTCGGGGCAATCATCCTTGCCGAGAAAACATGCACACGTCCGAGCGATACCAGGCCCCTCCCCCTGGACCCGGACGGGGGGCTCCGCGGCCCAGTCCCGGTGGAGCGCCCAGCTTGGCCTCGGCGAGAAAGCACACGTCACCGATCGAACTTAGGCTTACGTCGGTAAAACAAGGCTAGGATCGGGATGAATCGCTCCAGAGTGTTCTGGAGCGCTCTCAGAGCGTTCCGGAACGCTCTGGAGCGGCCGCGGCGCCCAATACATCCTCCAAACCCGCCGATTCTCAGAGGTTTCGAGTTATCCCGATCCGATTTTGTCCCGATCCTCGCGTCGTTTTAGTCGGGCAACTGTCTTACATAATGCCCCTAAAAATATTCCAAAACAATCAAAAAATGGTGGGGGAGTAGTTCCCAGACCATTGCTTTTAATGTTTGAATGCCCTCCCTGTAGAGGGACAGGCCCGACTTAAGCTTAGGCTTTGGGGCCCCGTTGTTTTGCCTCCCGGCCCTGGGGGGGGGCTGTAACCTGCTGCCCCCCCGTTTTTGTCTTTGCTTTTGGACGGTGCCGCCGCACCCTCGGCGCGCCCTCTTCGTCCGCCAGTTGCCCTCGCATCGAGCAAGAAGCAACACCTAAAACCTGCACGGGTGGTCTGCCGCAGCCCCGCACACACCGCAGCCTGCGCTCAGCAGGCGCAGCAGGCTCCGTGCCTCGGCGACTTGCCCCCGATGGCAAGTGTGCGCCACTCGGCAGGCCCAGTCGGTCCTGGCGTGGCCCACCCACCTGGTCCAACTTTGGCCTGGTGTCTGGTCCTGTGTCGGGGGAGCCCAGGATCGAAGCGACGTGACTTGCTACAGTCGGCCTTGATTGGACAGGACACGCGAGAGGACACAAGACCCTTCCGAGGGCCACATCGCCATAGGAGTGTAAGCAGGCACGTGTCGCGAGGCACAGGACACAAGGGTACCCTTGAGCTGGCAGGGTCGACCTACTAATCCGGGCCGACTGTACCACCTCGTCTCTGAGAACAGCAAGCGATGTCCCTCACCTGTACGCTGACCAAGACGTGCCGCTCCACGGCAGGCGAACGGTGTTGCCTGTCGGAGGTCCCTCTGTGTCTGTACACACCTTGGACACACGATGATCCGAATGGCGTGAGGAGCTTGAGATGGTCCATGTGATTGCCAGGCACTGGCATTACAAACAAGAAGCACGCGCGATAGACTAGGGAAAAAAGCGATCGTGACGCGCGCTGATTTATAATCAGGCTACATCGGGACAGCCGCACCGTGGAGGCCCAAGGCATTCATGGCCCCCGTGGAGGCCCAAGGCATGAGCCCAATCATGCCGGACCAGCAGCTCTGCCAGTCTGACCAGCTGCCGCGGCGCCCGAAAGCACAGAGCAGGCAATGCCTCCCAAAGGCATCGAAGAAGAGTCTCAAATCATGGATGACAGAGCAGCAGCTCTGAACATTTGACTGGCCGCCGCGGCGCCCGAGAGCCCACCTCAGTCAATGCCTCCCAAAGGCCTGGAGAAGATTCTGAACATCGTTTGCTCCATTTGACACTATGTGTCCCTCAATATTTCTGGGGTTACCTGTAGTCCGCGCTGGGTACCTGTAGCCGGGGGGAGGTGTACTTGTAGTCCGGGGGGGGGTACCTGTAGTCCGCGGGGGGGGTACCTATAGTCTGGGGGAGGGTACCTGTAGTCCGGGGGGGGGTACCTGTGGTCCGGGGGTGGGGCCTCGCAGGGTTACCTGTAGTCCAGGGGGGGGGGGCGCGCATGTTATTCGTCGAAGCATGCAAATTCAGGGGGTCCTGTAGCTTCGGGGCGTATTTCTAGCGCCTGATGGGGTTACCTCTAGTCTGGGGGGGGTACCTGTAGTCCGGGGGGGGTACCTGTAGTCCGGGGGGGGTACCTGTACACCGGGGGGGATACCTGTAGTCCGTGGGGGGGTATACCTGTACTCCGGGCAAGGGTTACCTGTAGTCATGGGGGGGTACCAATAGTCCGGGTACCCAAAACTATTCAGGGACACAGAGTAACAGTGCCTGTGCTCACGACGCTGCGCTCTACTCTCAAGTTGCAGCTCCGCCCCCTCATCCTCCCCCCCGCCGGACCCCGCTCTCCTGTCCTGACATCCAGATCACCCGCTACCCGACATTTCTGGTAACGGATTTCGGTCTCGCCGAAATCTAGTCGAGACCGGAAAGGACCGAATTTCGGGAACAAACAGACGATGCGTCGGGTTCCAATAAAAGGTGGATTGTTCAGAAACGGCGAAACGAACTTCGGTAACGACCAGGGTGGACATGTCAGTCACGGTCGAACAGAACATCGGTAACGGTCGAACGGAATTTCGGTGACGATCAAGAGGAATGTCGGTAACGATCAAACAAATTTTCGATAACGATGTCGTGCACTGATGTCACCAAAATCAATCGCGATGAACAACAACACCTTGAACGGAGAGCATGAAGTGCGGTAGCGAGGATAATAATGTTTGGCAGAGATGAGTCTACGTTTCGGTAGCGACGATAATGAATTTCGGTAGCGGCCACGCGGCACAGTTCGGTAGCGCCATAGTGCATTGCGGTAACGCTAATTATCAGAAAAAGTGCGTGTCAGAAGACGCAGACGCCTCGCTCGTTACCGAAATTCGAAACCGGAGGCCAGATTTGGGTTGCGACCTGTTCGTTCGGAGCGTTTCAGAAAACGTTCGGTAACGGGATGATCTGCGCATCCTGTCGTAGATGGTACCAGTCAGCCACTATGTTTGCACGAGAGCATGTGATTGAAATCGAACGTTTGGACTAACGAAGCGTCATGCATCATGTCAGTTGCGCTTTTCGAAACGCTTTCTGTGCTCTATACGGAGGCGCCGACCTTCCCCCTCCTCCTCTCCCTGCCAGACCCCTCCCTCCTGTTCCAACATCCTGTCTTCAGTGGTAGCCATCAGCCCCTGAGTGCAGAGCACGCGCTTCAAAATGAGCTCTTGAACGCAAGCAGCGTCCTGCCTTAACAAATGGCGAGTTGGGGCTGGCTGCTGCGCTTTACTCTCAAAGCGCTGCTCTGCCCCTTCATTCTCCCCGTGCTTCACCCCGCCTTCCTGATCCTTCTTCTCCCACCCCCGTGCGCTGCTTCTCTGGAGCCTACCGCCGAGCCGCATGACAACGCCCTGAATTATAGCCTATAAGCACAGCCTCGTGACCATAATCCCGGGACCTCCGCCGAGGCCGGCTGTGCGATCTACAGCGCCCCAGACCACTGATGGCGCGGGACGCGACTCACGAGGTACGTCCGCCGTCGCCAAGGCCTCCGGTGCCATGGACTTCGCCTTACGGGCCAGACGGCGCTGATGCTCGCGCCGCTGCGTCCTCGACTTCGGCTGGAACGCTGGAGCCTCATCCGAGCTGCTGTGAGGAGGGCCGAGGGGGTGAGGGGGACTGGCTCGGGGGCGGAACGGTGACCTGGCATCGCCAGCGGATCGGCGGCGAACCTCCCGTGGGGAAATGCAGCGCTCCTTGGCAGGCCGGGGCACCCTAGCCCCGATCGGTGAGGAGTCTTCGCCTGTGAGGCGGCGAAAAATTACCAGCCTGGAACATATCCCTATCCCTATGCTGGGCATCTCCTCATCACGATGCCAATCTTAGGGATTCCCTTATTTCTTGAGGGCGAATCCCTAAGATTGTCATCGCCTTTTGGCGTGTCAATCCTAGGGATAGGGATACGTTCGAGGCTGCTAAAACAAGTCCAGGCACCGCTGCTCCCAGGACCTCTCCCAGGGACCGCGGGGCGACTCTGGCCGCGTGGCGACGAGGGCACCCCCAGACGAGCAGCGGCACCGGTCTCCCTGACCTTCCGGGAGGGCCGAAATATAGCACCAGGACCTCGATATCTTAATTCCTGTCAAGGTTTTAGGCAGCCCAGATGGGTCTATAGGCCATGGAGGCCTTGACACTTTCGGCACGCGGCCCCCAGAAATCCCACCCCCCCAGGAGCTGGCGGTTCGTCCCAGCCCGTGTGTCGACGGTCCTCGAGGCCGGGCGAGGGCCCCCAGAGGCCGGAGGCAGTGGGGAAGCCTCCGCCCGGCTGCTTTCCGCGCGTGGAGGGTCTCGGACTGGGGGCCGATCGCCGCACACCGCCTGGAGCCGGGGCCCCCCGTGGCGACAGCCGCACCCTACCCCACCAACCATCGATCCTCGCGCAGCGATGGGAGGCGGGGGCAGGGGTTCCCATCCCGCCAGGTGCCCGGCGCACTCCGAACCCTGCCCCCGCCGCCCCACGAATGGCCCGCATCCCTCTCGGCTGGGCCAGGGCTCGGGTCTCGCTGCCGACTCCCCCGCTCACCGACGTTCGATTGTTCATGACGCGACCCCCAAGAGGTCCAGACCCATTCCCCGGGATCGGTTTTCCTCCTGAGTCCGCCGACCGCGTGTGGGTCTCCAGGCGTGTGAGATTCTTCCCCACCCATAAATCACCCTCATGGGACCCTCATGGGACCCTCATGGGACCCCAAATGGAGAATTTGACCCCCACACCAGGCCCGGCCCGAACGCCTCATGGGGGGATAGACGGCCCGAAAACGGGCCAAGGGGGCACCAAGAGGCCCCAAGACTGTCCAAGAGGGCCTCGAGTCGCCGGGAGGTCGCGTAAAGACGCCCAAGATTGCCTCCAGACGGCTCACGCCGCCCCCAAGACGCCTCAAGAGGCCTCCCAGAGACTTCCAAAAGGCGCCCAGAGGGCCCCAAGAGGCCGAATTCACTGATGCTTTGTAAGTTTGCTCGACGTTTTGGGCGTCGTTGTTTTTGTTAGCTTTTCGACGCTCCAAGAAGACGGCCCAAGAGGTCTCCAAGACCGCTCAAAGGCGGCCGAAGAGGTCCCCAAGGGCGCCCACAGACGGCCAAACAGGGCCCCGAGACGATCCAGGAGCCGCCAAAGAGGGCCTACAGAGGGCCCAAGAAGGGGACCACCAGCCGAGGCTGCGAGCCTTCCGCCTCGAGAGGGCCCTAGGAAACCACAAAAGGCCTCCAAGAGGCCCCAAGTTGCGCCCAGGAGGCCCCCCGAGATGCCCCAAGAGGCCCCCAAGAGGCCCAAGAGAGGACCCAAGAGGCCTCAAGAGGGCCCCCCCAGAGGCCTCGAAACTGCTTGCAAGAGACTCCCGAAAAACCAACCACGAAAGTCCAACCAACGCTTCGTCCTCGTCGTCCTCGTCGTCGACGTCATCGTCGCCGTCATCGTCCACGGCGACTGGCGGCGACGAGCGGCGACGCGCAGCACGAGAGGCGATGGGCGCGTCCCATGCCGACTTGGCTAACGCAAGTCCGAACCCCTAAGCTAGGGCTGTTTGAGGAACATTCGTGCCTCCGAAGCATTCTGTGCTTACGTAAGGCCTACCTCCCGCGCCCGAACGTGGGCGTCCCCTGCCCAAAAAAGCATTTTTCTAGTCCGTAAATAGTGCCTCCGTGCTTTTTCGGCATGGGAGCACGAAGGCCTAGGTAGGCCTTCGTGTTTCGGTCCGAAACCTCCCCCGAACGTGGGCGTCCCCTGCCATCCGGAAAACTCCCGCGCCCGCGATGATTCACAGAATCCAAGGAAGAATTCAACGATGGCCTGGTATGGGACAGCGGACTAATTCAAGGGGTCGGCGGATGTGGCATAAGCCTATCGAATCCACGTCCGGAGGTGACGTGCTGAGCGGCAGCGTTTTCTGCGGAGGCGATAATGCAACGTATCCAATGTGTCCAATGATTGCATACTTGCATCGTATTGTATTGTGTTACATTATGATGTCTCCCCCCTAACCCCTCCCAAAGGGCCACGCCACTTCCGTCGACCCAAACGTGGCGGACCCCTTCTGGGCTTCAAAAACATCTAAAACCTATGACAAATCAATAAATTCGGCCTCTTGGGCCTCTTGGGGCCCCAAGAAAGTTTCAAGACGGCCCAAGATGGCCCCAAGACAGCCCAAGACGGCCTCAAGACGGCCCCAGATGGCCCCAAGAGGGCCCATGAGGCCCTTAAGAAAGTCCAAGAGGCCCCCAAGAAGACTCCCAAAAGCGCCTGCGGAGGCCAAAATCTCTGATTATCCTATAGTTTTGGGACAATTTCAACGTTTTCGCCTTTTTCGGCTCTCGGAAAGCCATGACGGCCCAAGCAGCCTCCAAAAAGGCCCCCAAACGGCCCAAGAGGCCTCCAACGGGGCCCCAACACGGCCCAAGAGGGCCCCGAGACGGCCAACAAAAAACCCTCAAGACGGCCCAAAAAGACCCAATACGGCCCCAGAGGACCCCAAGAGAACCCCAAGGCGGCCGCGAGAGGCTTCGAAAGTGGCCTCCGAAGTGGCCAGACGGCGCAAAAAAAAACCCAAGACGGCCCAAGACGTCCCCAAGAAGCCCCAAGAGGCTCCAAAGAGGCCCCCCAGATGCTCAACAAAAACCCTTACGAAGCTTCCAAGAAGACCCCAGGAGACTCCCAGGAGGCCCCACAACGACTGGACTGAACGTGCTCTGAAACACCCTGCAGACTTTTCTGCGGAGGCGATAATGCAACGTACCCAAATGTATCCAATGATTGCGTAATTGCCACATATTGCATTATTATTAGTTATGTCTCCCCCCCTAACCCCCCCTCTGGGAGCTGCGCCACAGGAGCGGACCAAAGTGCCCCCCCCCCCCTCCCGGGGCTTAAAAACCTACCACAACCTATAGAAAATCAATGATTTTGACTTCTTAGGCTTCTTGAAAGGCCAAGAGGGTGCCAAAACGGCTCCAGATGGGCTCTGCGCGGACCAAGACAGCCCCGAGACGGTCCAAGACGGCCCCAAGAGGGCCCAAAAAGCCCCACTGACGGCCCAAGAGGGCCCCAAGAGCGCCCACAACTGCGCCTCCAGAAGCCAAAATCATTGATTTCCTTTTGGTTTGGTAAGATTTTAGCGTTCTCGCCTTTGCGGCCCAGGCCGCTTCCCAACTCGCTCCTGAACAACCCAAGAAGCCCCCAAGAGGGCCCCAATACTGCCCAACAGAACCCCAAAACGGCCCAAAGAGGCGCCCAAGACGGTCCAAGAGGCCCCTTATGACGGCCCAAGAAGACCCCAAGACGGCCCCAAGGCGGCCGCGAGAGGCCCCCAAGACGGCCTCCGAAGGGGCGAAACGGCGCAAAAGCGCCCCAATACGGCCAAAGGCGCCCCCAAGAGGCCCCAAGAGGCACCCAAGAGGCCCCCAAGGGGCCCCCAAAAAACCCGATGAGGCCTCCAAGATGTCTTCAAGAAGCCTCCCAAAGGCTCCAAAGAAGCCCCCCAAAGGCCACACAGCGACTGGAGTGTAATGTCATTTTTCCACCCTGGGCGAACTGCGGCGCAGCGCCAGCCAGGTGGAAGTTGGTCACAGCGGCGCCCATGATTAGAGCCGGCGCTGGAAAGAAATATGAGGAGGGAGTATGAAAAGGAGTGAGGGGGGAGAGGCCCCAAAAAAGTCCCCAAGAGGCCCAAGGAAGCTCCCAGGAGGCCTCCAGAAGGCCCCCAAGAGGCTCCCAAGAGGCTCCGCGACGACGTGACTGTACGTGCTCTGGACGTGCACCCCGCGAAGCGAGAGGAATCTACTTTCGGAGGTGATGTGCTGAGCAGCAACGTGTTCCGGCGAACGCCTCAATTAATGCAAATGATCCAACGTATCCAATGAAAAGTCTCCCCCCCTAACCCCCCCAGGGGCCACGCCACATCCATCGACCTAAAGATGATGGACCCCCTTCTAGACTTCAAAAACCCTCCAAACCAATGCAAAATCAATGATATGGGCCCCGTGGCCCTCCCGATGGGCTCAAGACGGCCCACGACGGCCCCGAAACTGCGCAAGATGACCCCAAGAGGGCCCAACAAGCGCTCAAGACGGCCCAAGAGGGCCCCCAGAGGAGCCCCGATAGCGCCTCCGCAAGCCCAAATCATTGCTTTTCCGAAAAAGGTTTTGAAGGATTTTCGCGTTCTCGCTTTTTCCCTACCTAGGCTCTGCCTAGAAAGGTTCTTACTGTGTTCTCTTAAAGGACCGGGCAATGGAAACCGCCCCGGGCGGTTCCCCCGGAATCCGCCCCGCGGTTCCCCCAGCTACGTCCCCTTAGCATAGCGTTGCTTATCTCATCTTAGCTTAGCATATTTCATCTTAGTTTAGCGCAGCTTCATCTTAGCTTAGATTTATCTTAGCTTAGCTTACCTTCATCTTAGCTTCGCCGAGCTTTAGCGTAGCACAGCGCATCACAGCACAGCACAGCACCGCGCAGCATAGCAAAGCATAGCATAGCATAGCATAGCACAGCAGCAAAGCAAAGGTAAAGCAACAACAGCGACAGCAAAGCAAAGCACAAGCAACGCAAAGCAAAGCAAAGCAAAAGCAAAAGCAAAGCAAAAGAAAGGCAAAACAAAAAACAATGTGCGACAGATGCCGAGCTAGCCTCGATGGCCGGACCGGAGCCCCCCGCAAGCAGTGCCTTCCGTAACCATAGCGCAGCGCTGCATTAGCATAGCGCAGCGCTGCATTAGCATAGCATAGCATAGCATAGCATAACATAGCCAATCATAGTATAGAATAGCATAGCATAGCATAGCATAGCGCAGCTTAGCATAGCATAGCATAGCATAACTTAGCAACTAATGCTGCTTTCCTAGGGGCTCAAACTTCTAGGTAGGGTCGCACTGGGGTAATTTTCTACTCCTGACGACCCAAGCAGCCTCTACAATCGCCCCATGACGGCTCAAGAAACGCCCGCGAGGACCCCAAGACGGCCCCAGAGGGCCCCAAGACGGCCCAAAGAGGTCCCCAAGACGGCCCAAGGGGCCCCCGAGACGGCCCAAAAGGACAGGCGGCCGCGACAGACCCCCAATACGGCCTCTGCAAAGGCCAAACGGCGCAACAGCGCCCAATACGGCTCAAGACGCTTCTAGGAAGTCCCCAGAAGACCCCAAAGAAGTCCCCAGAAGACCCCCGAGAACCCCCAAACCGACTCGACTCTACGTACTCCGGACGTGCACCCTGCGAAGCGAGAGGACTCGTTCGTTGACGGTCCTGGGGCCCGGCGAGGGCCCCCGGAGGCCGAAATCAGTGAAACACCTTCCGTCGTGATTTTGCCCATGGCTCGAGGGGGTCTGGGTCCCCCCACCCCGTCGGCGCCCCCCGATGGCGCCCTCCTCCGAGCGCGCCGCCCGCGCGAGGCGCGCGGGCCACGGGACCTCGATGGGCAGACTTTCCACCACCAGGTAAGAGAGGGAGGAGGAAGGGAGGGGAGGAGGAGGAGGAGGAGGAGACGGAGGAGGAGGAGGAGGAGGAGGAGGAGGAGGAGGAGAGGAGGAGGAGGAGGAGGGAGGGAGGAGGAGGAGGAGGAGGAGGAGAGGGAGGAGGAGGAGGAGGAGGAGAAGGAGCAGGAGGAGAAGCAGGAGGAGGAGGAGGAGGAGGAGGAGGACCAGGAGAAGGAGGAGGAGGAGGGTGAGGAGGAGGAGGAGGACCAGAAGGAGGAGGAGGAGCAGGAGGAGAGGGAGGAGGAGGAGGAGCACGAGACGAGGAGGACCAGTGCAAACCCAAGAGTCACCAACCATGTTGGAATGAACCCTCCCCCCAAGCTCCCTCTACATAGGCCCCTACAACGGTTCCTTTCCACAGAGGGGCTTGCCTCGTTGGAGGGCAACCGTTTGAAGACCCTGAAGCAGACCAAAACATTGTTCTCGGGAGTCAGCGCCGCGGATAAACTTGACTGTTGCGTCTTGACGATTCTGAATCGTGCCAAGATGCCATCCCTGTGACTTCAACACCGCGAATCATCACGACTGCTGCGCCCTCACAATCGCGAATCCTTCCCAAACAACACTTCTGGTTCTTCGAGCATGAGGATCCGTGAAACTCTTGCAGTGTGTTGAAACGAATGTACGCGGCGCTACCCCCAGAACCACTTGTTGAACATGCCCGCCCTCGATCCGCGAAACTCTTGAATTTTTTGAAAACGAATGTGCGCAGCCCTACGGCGAGAACCGCATGTTGAAAACCACCCGCCCTCAATCCGTGGAGCTCTTGCATATTTTAAATGTGCGCGGCGCTCAAGCGAGAACCACATGTTCAAAGCGACCCGCCCTCCGTCTGTGAAGCTGTTGGCAAAGTTTAAGCTTCAGGGTCATGAGTGGTGAGGACTTCTCAGGCGAAACGCCCCAAACGTCCTCAAAACTGGCCTCGGGGTGCGACTGGGGGAAGATATTTCGAAGGAGCAGGAACGGAGGAGGAGGAGGAGGTGGAGAAGCAGGAGGAGGAGGAGGAGGAGGAGGAGGAGGAGAAGGAGGAGGAGGAGGAGGAGGGAGGAGGAGGAGGAGGAGGAGAGGAAAGGGAGATGAGGAAGGGGGGAAGAGGTGGAGGAGGAGGAGGAGCAGGAGGAGAGGGAACACAGCAGGAGGAGAGGGGAGAGGAGAGGGAGGAGGAGGAGGGGAGGAGGAGACGGAGGAGGAGGAGGAGGAGGAGGAGGTGGAGGAGGAGGAGGAGGAGGAGGAGGAGGAGGAGGAGGAGGAGGAGGAGGAGAGGAAGGAGAGGAGAGGGAAGAGGAGAGGAGGAGGAGGAGGAGGAGGAGGAGGAGGAGGAGAACGAGGAGCCACTGGACCTCCTCCCCGCGCGGGGCCGCGAGCGCCGCCCTGCTCCAGTCGAGGTGCGGAGCCCCGGGCGCCGCGCAGGCGGCGGGGGCGCCCGCCTCCTCGGCCTGCGGCGGCCACGGGCCCAGATGGGAGGCCCGCGAGGCAGAGGACGAAGAGGAGGAAGAAAAAAGGAGGAGGAGGAGGAGGAGGATGAGGAGGAGGCAGGAGGAGGAGGAGGAGGAGGAGGAGGAGGAGGAGAGGAGGAGGAGGAGGAGGAGGAGGAGGGACGAGGAGGAGGAGGAGGAGGAGGAGGAGGAGGGGAGGAGGAGGAGGAGGGGGAGGAGGAGGGAGAGGAGGAGGAGGAAAGGAGGAGGAGGAGGAAAGGAGGAGGAGCAGGAGGAGAGGGAAGAGGAGGAGGAGGAGGAGGAGGAGGAGGAGGAGGAGGAGGAAGAGGAGGAGGAGGAGAGGGAGGAGGAGGACCAGGAGGAGGAGGAGGACCAGGAGGAGGAGGAGGCGGAGGAGGAGGAGGCGGAGGAGGAGGAGGAGAAGGAGGAGGAGGAGGACCAGGAGGTGGAGGAGGAGGAGGAGGAACAGGAGGAGAGGGAGGAGACGGAGGAGCAGCAGCAGAAGGAGGACCAGTGCAAACCCAAGAGTCACCAACGATGTTGGAATAAACCCTCCCCCCAAGCTCCCTCTACATAGGACCCTACAGCGGTACATTTCCACAGAGGGGCTTGCCTCGTTGGAAAGCAACCGTTTGAAGACCCCGAACCATGCAAAACATTGCTCTCGGGATTCAGCGCCGCGGCGCTACCCCCAGAACCACATGTTGAAGACACCCGCCCTCAATCCGCGGAGCTCTTGCAACGTTTGAAAACGAATGTGCACGGCGCTCAGGCGAGAACCACATGTTGAAAACCATCCGCCCTCAATCCGTGGAGCTCTTGCATTTTTTAAGTGTGCGCGGCGCCCAGGCGAGAACCAAACGTTCAAAGCAACCTGGCCTCCATCTGTGAAGCTGTTGACAAATCTTAAGCTGCAGGGTCATGGCTGGTGAAGACGTCTCAGGCGAAACGCCTGGCCCGTCCTCAAAACTGGCCTCGGGGTGCGACTGGGGGAACATATTTCGAAGGAGCAGGAATGGAGGAGGAGGTGGAGAAGCAGGAGGAGGAGGAACAGGAGGAGGAGCAGGTGGAGGAGGAAGAGGAGGAGAGGGAGGAGGAGGAGGAAGAGGAGGAGGAGGAGGAGGAGTGCCATGAGTGTCATAAATCCAAGAAATGAACGGCGAGCGAGGCTCAACCGTCACCCTCGGTCTCCCAGACAGGAGGAAGGGGCCCGCAGGCGCCAGCACCGACGGTCAGGGGAAAGGCAGATACCTCCGCGCTCAGCGACTCGCTGCCCAACCGAAACGGCGTGGTGCGCAGGGGGACAGCCGGTTCACCGCGCCACCGCGCAGTACTTCCCGACCGTCACCCCTGCCGAATCGGATGGCATGTGCAACTGGGTTTGTACCCCAGGGTGAGCGGACACAAAGTCCCAAGGGACTTACGGACCACATGGCCCCGCCTCTCAACCAAATGCACACTCCCCGTGCCTGGTACGCATCTCCAGGTCACGGGTGCAGCTAACGCGCCGCTGCCACGGGCAAAATGCCACATGGCTGGCGCAAAAACGACGAAAGCCGGTTTATCTGCCCCCCGCCAACGCATGCAATTGACACAGACAGTGTGCCCCGAGGAGTGTGTGGCGCTGACACCATGAGAACAGGTGCCAGGCCCCCACCCTCGGGGAAAGAGGAGGAGGAGGAGGAGGAGCATGAGAAGGAGGAGGAGGAACAGGAGGAGGACCAGGAGGAGGAGGAGGAGGAGGAGGAGGAGGAGGAGGAGGAGGAGGAGGAGGAGCAGGAGAAGAGGGAGCAGGAGGAGAGGGAGAGGAGAGGGAGGAGGAGGAGGAGGAGGAGGAGGAGGAGGGAGGAGGAGGAGGAGAGGGAAGAGGAGAAAGAGAGAAGGAGGAGGAGAGTGAAGATGAGGAGGAGGAGGAGGAGGAGGAGGAGGAGGAGGAGGAGGAGGAGGAGGAGGAGGAGGAGCCACTGGACCTCCTCCCCGCGCGGGGCCGCGAGCGCCGCCCTGCTCCAGTTGAGGTGGGGAGCCCCGGGCGCCGCGCAGGCAGCGGGGGGGCCCGCCTCCTCGGCCTGCGGCGGCCACGGGCCCCGATGGGAGGCCCGCGAGGCAGAGGAGGAAGAGGAGGAGGAGGAGGAGGAGGAGGAGGAGGAGGAGGAGGAGGAGGAGGAGGAGGAGGAGGAGGAACAGCAGTAGGAAGAGGAGGAGGAGGAGGAGCAGGAGGAGGTGCAGGATGAGGAGCAGGAGCAAGGAGGAGAGGGAGGAGGAGGAGGAGCAGGAGGAGGAGGAGGAGGAAGAGGAGGAGGACGAGGAGGAGGACGAGGAGGAGGAGGAGGCCCGCGAGGCAGCACCTACCCCAGACCCCCTCGAGTCATGAAAAAAACACGACGGGGGGGGTCACCATTTTCAGCCTCTTGGGGCCCTCACCGGGCCTCGGACCGTTAAGAAACGACTCGGGATGAAACGCCGGTCCCGGAGAATGGGTCCAGACCTCTGGGGGTCGCGTCATGAAACATCATGACGTCGGGGGCCTGTGATCCTGACCTTCCGGGTCAGCCAAAAATAGCACCGGGACCTCGACATTTTGTCGAGGTTCCAGGCCGTCTAGATGGGTCTCCAGGTCTGGAGGGCTATTTTCTAGTACCCTGGAAGGTCAGGGCATTCTGGGACAAGACGAAGCCAGGACGAGGGCAACACCGGGTGAGGATACGATCGGGGCGCTCAGAGACCCGGCGGCTCCAGAGCCTCGAGGCTGTCTCGAGCGCCGCGGCCTCCTCTGAGCGCTGCCAGCGTTCTGGAAAATTCTGGAACGGACTTCTCCTCGTCCTGCCCCCGTCCGAGTGAGGAAGCAACTCCTGGGAGGCCCTTCGTGAGAGCGATTGAGGGTTGTCTGGCCTGAGCCAGGGGCCACGAAGCCAGATCAGGCAAGAGTGAGCACAGGCCTGAACCATATTGAACCAGGCTGGCCAGAACGTAACGGGATTGAGCCAGATTCGGCAGGGTGTTGACCACGGCTATACCAGCGCCGATGCTGAACTGACATCCTAGGAGTTGACTCCTGAAACTAGGGCCCTGTGCCCCAGAGGCCTTCCTTCCCCCAGGGCCACCTTTTCGTCCCGAGCTATTCTCGGACAAACCCAGGGGCTGGGGGAGCCCGAGAACGGGGAGACACTCCAGAGGCCTCCCGCACGGGGCCCGAAAAGATGGGAGTCGGAGGCACGTGCCGCATCGCCGGTGCATCGGCGACGTCGGCGCGGAGAGAGCCTGGCTCCACATCGAGCCACGTCGCCGATGCCTCGGCGAGGCGGCGCGACCCTCCGACCCCACTCGCTCCGACCTCTTCTGTTAAGTCGGGCGTGTCCCCCTACAGGGGGATTGCCGACGAAAAAAATATACCCCATAAATGCCCCTAAAAGGGTCAAACAGTACCCCCAAAATAGGCCCCAGACTATGTCTGGACTATCTTTGGGGGGCATTTTTTTGTTATCTTTCGTCGAACATCCCCCCTGCAGGGGGGACAGGCCCGACGCGACTCTTCTGGGAGGGGCCCCGCACCCCCGGGGCCCCGCTTAAACCCGCGGGGCCCGCTTGGCGCCCCGAGGGCCTGCCAGCACGGCGCGGCGTGGCCCGGCATGGGCACCGAGCCCTCGGGAGCCTGGCGGTAGCGGCGGCGCCTCGAGCCCTCGGGCGCCTCGGGGGGGGGGCGGGGCGGCGGCTTCGATGGAACAGGGGCCGACCGTCCCGGCAACTCTGTAGTCCTGCCATGAAGTTCTCGTAGAACCCAAAAACCTGTTCTAAGAACGAAAACAAGGTTCTTAGAACATAAACCCGATGTGGCAAAACAAGACAGACTCCGCCAGAAATGTTCTAAGAACACGTCCTGGAAACCACAAAAGGTTCTTAGAACATTGTTTGGTAGGGCTACAGGCGAGCCAGGACGCTTCGCCACTGATTGATTCGACCCTCGAGCAAACTCTCTCGGGCCTGACCGGCTCGAGCCAAAGCGGCCGCGGCCCAGTGCCTCCGGCAGGGCGGGGGCGTGCTCGGGTGCCCGCTGGCCGTGCGACAGGATCCCACTGGCCCTCTGGGCGCAGGTGGTCCAACGGCGTCGTTCTGCATTCTTCCGAGACCCTCTTCCCATCTGGGAGGGGTTACCCTCCCCTTCCCCTCCCTGAGTTTTTGTTTGTTTAGGGGGGGGCGAGCGGTCCAGGCGCCCGGGATGGCCCGAGGTGGCTCCAAGAGGGCGCCCGATGCTACAAGACTGCCTCCAAAATGGCTAAAAAATGTGCCGTCTCGCCCTGTCGCTTCCGATGGGCTTCTGAGGTCTCAAGATAGCCCCAAGATGGCCATAGAGAGTCCCAAGAGGGGCCCAAGAGACCCCCCAAACGGCCCCGATAGGGCCAAAGATCGGCCTGAGAGCGCTTCACGAAGCGATTTTGATGGCCCCAGAAGGCTGGAGGCAAATCTAAGACCACCCTCATTTGACGCCCTGCCAGATGGCCCCCGGAGGCCTTACAGGGCCCCCAAGAGGGCCCCAAGAGATCCCCTACGAGGGCCACAAAAAGGCCCCAAGACGGCCCCACAAGAACCCCTAAAGGGCCCCAGGACATCCTAAACGAAAGGGCCCCGAGAGAGCCACAAAAGGACCCCAAGAGAGCCTCGAGAAGACCCCCAGATGGCTGCCAGAGTCCTAGTCCTCAGCCATGTCGTCCTCGATCTCCTCGTCCTCGTCCGCATCCTCTCCTCATCGTCATCCTCCTCCTCGTCATCCTTTTCGTGCTCGACCTCTCCCTCGTCCTTCTCCCCGTCCTCGTCTTCGTCTTCCTCCTCGTCCTTGTCATCGTCGTCCTCCTCCGTGTCCTCCTCTTTCTACGATTCGTTGTTATCCTCCTCCTCGTTCTCTTGTCGTCGTCCACATCCTCATCCTCACCCCCTCCTGCTCCGCATCCACAGATTACTATGTGTCTCGTTGCCCACTTCATTTTACTATGTGTCTCTTCCTCCCGTTTCCCGCCGACTCTCATGGGCAACGTTTCTGTATGGGCTGCTGGGGACCTTTTTTGTTCGCGAGCGCGCAGGGGTGCCAGGCGCCGTCCAAAAACGCGGCTAACAAGCAACGGCCAAATTTCCGCACAAGACTGCTGGGGATTTTTTGGCCTGCGGGCTCGCGAAGCAAGTCGAAAGCCGTCCGAACACTAGCCGGGCCGCGACTAGGCAGCAATAAAAGAGAGCCAAGCGAAGCGAGCGCGCGGGCAGCCACTCAGAAATCCACTGCAATTCTCCGACGTCGCGTCACTTCACGTCACGTCACGTCGTCGTCGTCGTCGTCGCCGCCGTCACCGTCGTCGTCGCCATCGCATCGCACTCGCCGTCGCCGTCGCCGTCGCCGTCGTCGTCGTCGTCATCGTCGTCGTCTTCGTCAATGTCGACGCCTCCCCCGAAACTCGCCCTCCTCCCCACCCCGTCGCTGCTCCGCTTGGCCCAGTGCTGCCCCTGCCGAACCGAATGGCCAGGGGGCGGCCCCAGGCCCTCCCACACCCCAAGGCGGCCGCAGGGGGTGCCCCATCGGGGGGGCGGCCGGGGAGCGATGCCCCCCCCCCCCCACCCCTCCGAGAGGCTCGAACCAAGAAACCCTCGGGTCATGAAACAGACGGAAGGCTTCTTTTCGCTGTTGCCGGCCTCGGGGTGCCCTCGACTGGCCTCGGGACCGTCAAAAAACAATTCAGGATGAGGATTTGGTTTTCGGGGGAATGGGTCCCGAGGACCCGCCCGTCGTGGGGAAAGGGGCCTCGGCTGCGTCAGCAGCCTGGTCCTGGGGAATGGGTCCCGACCTCTGGGGGCCGCGTCACGACAAAGATCGTGACGTCGGGGGTCTGGGGTGGGCGGCGCGCCCGAGGCCCAGCTGAGCGACCAGGACCTCTGGGGGCCAAGCTCGGGGACGTACGACGGGGGGCGTCCATCCCCGATCGGGGGGAGGGTACGATGAGCCGCCTGGGCGCGTGTCCCCGAGTTCCCTCCCTTGTTTAAGCGCCTTCGTGTGAGCGGCGAGGAGAAACGGGTTTTACGCGAAGTGACGCAGCGACCTTGCGCCGCGGCGCACGCCAGACTGTAGACGAGGGCGCTTGCGCGCGACATTTCCCGGGAAGCTTACGCGCGAATGTCGGCGCAGTCAGGGATTTGCTGACCTGGGTCAATCCAAACTCGGGTCAGTCAGGCTCTGCAGGATCCTGCACGCTATAGTCTGGGTCAGCGCACCCCTGGCTCTGCAGGATCCTGCAAGATCTGGCGCCCTGGCTGACCCCCGTCTGCATTAACCCCCGTCTTTTGAGCCCCCCCAAAGCCCACCCCCAGTCGTCGTTCGGCAACATTGCCCCGCCCCTGTTGTGGCCAGGAAGGGGGGGGGGGGGGGGGCATTTGGGGCTATCGGTGTGGGAGGCCAAAGGGGCGGGCCTTCGCAGAAGGCTCAGAAGGCTTCTGGCCTCCTGAGGACCTCTCTGAGCCGTCTCCGAAGCCACATGGTGTGGCTTCCCAGAAGACCAGAGGGCTCTTGCCCTGACCTTCCAGAGTGCTAAAAAATAGCCCTCCATACCTGTAGACCTATCTGGACTGCCTAAACCCTCGACAGGAATTTAGATGTCGAGGCCCTGGTGCTATTCGTGAGCCCTCCTGGAAGGTCAAGGTGAGAAGCCCCGCTGCGTCCCGCTGCCTTCCGAGAAGGCCTGTCCCCTCTCACTCGCCCCTCCAGGAGGAGGCGCACACTCGGGCGCGATTGCTCCACGGAGCTCTCCCGAAAGAGGCTCGGGGGAGCCATCTTTTGGGGCCCTCTGGCCAAGTCTTGGGGCGAGTATCGAGCCTTCTCGGTGGGCTGTCCTGGGCCATCTTGGGAATCCGTTGGTCATGGAGCCGTCTTCGGGCGCTTGGGAGTCCTCCCCCGATGCCCATCTCGAGCTGGAGCACGAGCTTTCAGAGCTGGCTCGGGACGGAATGCGTTCGGCCTCCCAGTGCACCACGGCAGGGCTGCCTTGCCCCGAGACCGTCGACAAGAATCCAAGACCCCCAGCATCCCCCGGAAGGCGCCAGCCAGTGAAGGTTCCATCAACTCAGTGCTGGGAGGAGGAGGAGGAGGAGGAGGAGGAGGAGGAGGAGGAGGAGGAGGAGGAGGGAGGAGGAGGAGGAGGAGGAGCCGAGTAGCCGGGAGGAGGAGGAGGAGGACGGCAGGCCCAGCAGCCGGGAGCAGGAGGAGGAGGAGGAGGAGGAGGAGGAGGAGGAGGAGGAGGGAGGCTTCCAGGTGACGGTAGAGGAATCCAGTCAACCAGTATAGTAAGGATGTGCGAGAAGGATGCAAGGGCCTTAGACGCCCATCTCGAAGCTTTTCGAGCGGGGCGCGGCCAGCGAAAGCGGCGAAGGCTGGGCCGAAGGGGCAAAGATGCAAGGGCACCCTTGGGTAAGTTGCCCATCCTTCCTATGCGGGTTGACTGCAACACCTTGACCGGACAAGACTTCTGGAATGCCGCGCGGATTCCTTCGATCCGCGCGAGGCCCCCCCATGGCGGCGCCTCTGGCGCCGCTCCTGGCGGGCTCCACGCGCGGACCCCCGAACAGAACTGTTCATGCAAGTCGATGTTCCGCGATGGGGGGCCGTGGGAGGTCCTTGGGGGGGGATCGGGGAGAGCTCCTGGAGGCCAGGGAGGGCAGCAACACCAACCTCCAACGACTGCACAGCAAGAGCAATCTCGAAAACGGACGCGTCTCTCTCAATATCCGGCGTCCGGAAGCCGCTTTCGGTCCCCGAGCCGTCCAGCCACGACTCTCGCGAGCGCTGGAGAGGGGGGGGCAAGACCAAGGCGGGCGCGAATCTCACGGCCAGCGGCAGGTGCGCGGAAGAGTGGGGTCAGCAGGCTCGTTGAAAGAAGAATCGGATTAGTTTGCTCGACGACCTTATCGACGGACTGGGGTCCCACCGCGACTTGGGAATAAATATTTCTCCGCGGCACCCGCCGCACAACAACGACGACGACGACTACGATTACGACTGCGACCACGGTACGACGACGATGACGACTACGTGTACGACTACAAAAACGACTATGATTGCGACTCTAGTCTCCATTCCAATAACGGTTGCAACCACGACTACAATCACAACCACTGATTTCTATTGCGATACTCATGAGAAGATAATCCCCACTGCCCGCGAGCGTGGTTTACTCCCTGAGAAATGGCCAACATTAGCCAGCCCGCCCAACAAAACAAGAAATCAATCTGCTCCGCGACGACGACGACGACTTCGATTACGATTACGACTTCACGCGCGACTGCAACCACGACAACGATTACGATGACAGTCGCGACTACAATCACGATTACAGTCACGATGACAACCACGGCTACAATCACGACTACAACCACAATCAAAATATGTTCACATATCCTCTCGCGTGTACGAGTAGCCCGCAATTGATGATTCCCTGGGAGAAACAACCTCAAGAATACACAGCACGCTAAACACTGTAGGAACATGTTTACCAGTCGCAACGATAACGACTACGATAACGACCACGAGGAGAAGCAGGAGGACGAGAAGGACGAGAAGGACGAGGAGGAGGAGGAGGAGGAGGAGGAGGAGGAGGAGGAGGAGGAGGAGGAGGAGGGGTGGGGGAAGGAGGAGGAACAGCAGGAGGACGAGGAGGAGGAGGAGGAGGAAGGGAGGAGGAGGAGAGGAGGGAGGAGGAGGAGGAGGAGGAGGAGGAGGAGGAGGAGGAGGAGAAGGAGGAGTAGGAGGAGGAGGAGGAGGAACAAGCTAGGTGCGCTCCTGTCATATATGACTTCATACCACTTCCTCACATCCCTACCATGGCGTAGATATCCTCTCTAATCGCACAGACGGATGTCGAGCAGGGCAATGATTGCGAGAGGGTACGTGATGCACGGTAGACCACGGCATGGCATGGTGTAGAAGAGCACGGTAGACCGTAGCATGCCACAACATGGCGTGGCATTGCGCAGTGAAGCATTGCATCACAAAGCGTTGCGTCGCAAAGCATTGCATAACACGACGGCGTAAAACGCAACACCGCACAAACACGTCATGACATGGCGCCGGGTTCCTTGGAGGGTAAGCGGATCGTCTGCGAAAGGTCTGGGCCGGTCTGGCGTCGTGGCTCCATGTCTAGCTCTTTGGGCCCCCGAAAAGCTCCACACCAGGCGATCCTGATGGAGAGCACCCGCTAGCTCTGCCTCCAACATCGCCTTCTCAAAAAACAAAGGTGGCTCCCGCTTGATACTTCCTGAAAACGACGACGCCCCAAACTGGGGGGGGGTCCTCTGCGGCCTCAAAACATCCTCCTGTGTAATCACTTCGAATGGTTTTTTCGGGATAGCATTTTTTTGATGTTTGGGACTCTCTGGAAGAACAGAAAACGCCCGCGCTGCAGCGGGAGCACAATTTGGAACAACCAAAGGCGCAGAAATGGGGCCAGCGCTTCAGCGGGAGCAACATTTGGAATTAAGCCGAGGCGAAAACCAATGTTCCAAGAATCCGATGTAAAACCACAGTACGTGGAAGGGGGCCGGATATCTTCAGGACGTTGTCAGGGGAGAGAGGAGAGTCGTATTCATATGTTGTAATTGAAGAGGGGGAAGAGAAGAACGAGGAGGAAGAGCAGGAGGAGGAGGAGAAAGCGGCGGATACGGAGGAGGAGGAGAAGGGGCAGGAGGAGAAGGAGGAGGAGGAGGAGGAGGAGCGAGCTCGTTCCCAGCCGAAAGCAAAATGGGGGGAGGGGTGCAACAACAAGAACCTCCTAGGGTTAAGGAGGCATCAAATCCAAATCTGGGAGACACCATGGCCCCGCTCATAGTATCCACATGCGCCCTCAGTCCGCACCCCCCTCGTGGACGCCCCCGAGAGTGAGAATGAGAAGAAAACCCCTGGGAAGGGGTTCAGAGTCCGCAATCTGCCCTCAAGTGATGCAGCCGCCAGCTCGCGCAAGCACCGCCGAGCCGCTCGCCCGAAATCCCACGCGCACGGACAATTCTCCCGACCTGTCACGACTGGATGTTGGCTAAGACACGACCCCGGCCGAGACACACACACACAACACACACACACACACATCGCATGCACATGCCCCTGTGATGCCGCAATGCACGGCCGGCCCATGATCTTGGCATTGACCGCCAGGGCCTCCGAAACGAGGCGTCCCGGTTGCTGGCGCCCGCCCCTCCCACCTGGGGACAGGCTCGAGCCTGCCGGTAGCGGGTCGCGTCCGCCGCAGGGCAAGACGACGAACCCAGACACAGCTTTGGCCTGCAGGAACAAGTGGCGAAACCAAATGGATCAGCGGCGCTTCTCCCAGGCCGCCTCGATGCGAGGTTATCGTCCCGCTCCTGCACCGCTGCACTGGAGATCGACATGTTTTCGGTCAAGGCCGCTGAGCGAAGTCATCTTCGCTCCCCTGTGGGTGACCTAGTCTGTTCGTAGCGAAACCTTTGCTCTGACATCAATTCAAAACCCGGAGGTCCGTGCGAACCTAAACGGTCGGCGGCGTTGGACCCCGCACATCCCTTGCCCCGCGCATGGGGCGGCGCCGGAAGCGCGGCCAGGTGTTGGGAGGTTGATCGGGCGCCGACCATTGAATAGTTGTGCGAATCTCCGATGCGTTTTGCTTGCGGAGGTGTTTGGCCTACTCAGGGCAACTGGGTTAGCACCAACTACATAGCACACGCAGGGCTCTCATACATGCCATGCAAAAACACTCATGCCAGACCTTGTAGCATCCCCGGTGCTCTCGTTAGACGGCCAGGGGCCCTGTGTTATCCACGTCCTTTTGTCAGACGTTGTGCTATCCACGTCCTTTTGCCAGACCGCCAAGGGCATGTGCAATCCACATCCTTTCACCAGACGTTGTGCTATCCCTGGCCATTACGCCAGACAGCCCTGCTGCTGCCCCTCTTCTTCCTCCTCCTCCTCCTGCCCATGCCCCTGCTCCCTCATCCTGCTCTCCGTCCGCCTCCTCCTTCTCCTCCTCCTCCCGACTCAGAGGGAGCGAGAGGAGGAGAGGAGAGCGGGGTGGGGTGGGAGGGCACATAGCACAAGTCAGGAGGTGGAAGGGGCGGTACGAAGGGGGGCTCTCGTGGGGCCCTCTTGGAGCCGTCTTGAGGAAGGCTCAAAAGGCCACAATAGTGCCCGAAGAGGGCACAAGAGGGCCTCAAGAAATTCCACAAGAGTGCCCGACGACGACGGCGGCGGCGGCGGCGGCTCAGAGTTGTGCTATCTCTGGCTTCGGGCAGACACCAACCCTTAGACTTCTGCTATCACCGGCGTTTTTACCTCTTCGTCAGGGGGCCCGGCGCATCGAGGTCGGCTGATTGGTACGCTCAGATGGAGCAAATGAGGCAAGACATCCGTATCATGTGCATTTTGGAAACATGAAGGGGCCCCCAGGACACACAAATAAATACACACAAATAAAAGGATTCCCCATATTTTCCAATATTTTCTGTGTTTTCGTCTTCCCCCCCCACTTCCCATATTTTCCCATATTTTCTAGGGAATCGCCGATTAATTGTGTCTGTGTGTTTCTTTCCCTCTTGAAAAACAATCATCTCAAGAGTTTGTGGTCATGCCGATTCGATCGACTTTCTTGCAGAAAGAACATGATCCCTGCGCCGAAAGCCTAGGGCCCCAGAGGGTACCCAATACGAAGAGCACCCGCGGAAAGCCCAGAACCGAAGAATGCACTGGAGCCCTTTCCCTCCTCCTCCTCCTCCTCCTCCTCCTCCTCCTCCGCCTCCCCCTCCTCCTTCTCCGCCTCCTCTTCCTCCTCCTCTTCCTCCTCCTCCTCCTCCTCCTCCTCCTCCTCCTCCTCCTCCCCCTCACTCATCCTCCTGCTGCTCCTTCTCCCCCTGCTCCTTCTCCTCCTTCTCCGCCTCCTGACACGGGTCGGGCGAAAGAGGTGGGGCAGAATTTCCCGGCGCCTCCCCGCGCTGGAGGCGCCAACGCAGCGAGGCACAGCGCCCCGCGGCGGGGCCGGAACTGGCTGCGCGCGACAGACTTCGCCGACTTCGCCCCCCCCCTGCGAGCAGGTGGCACACAGGCCACGGCAGCAGGGGCGGCCGCTCTGGCCACTGCTCCCCCCCTGGAAGCGAGAGACACAGCGGGGCGGCCGCCCAAGCCCCTCGCGCTCTCCGGCCGCACGTACGGGCACACGGCGGCCCACAGAGAGCGGGGTGCCCGCATAATCTCTGATCGACGCCTCCCCTCAGCCCAAGGGGAAGTCCAAACCGGAAGCGGACAACTTTTGACAAACTCAGAGCTCGGATCTGTCCTGTCCCTTGTCCTGGAGACCCGTCCGACCGACCCCGTCCACTCCGACCCCGTGCAGCGGGCCCCGGCGCGGCCCTATGGACACACAGGGCGGCTGTGTGCGGATGCCCCGCGCGGGGCGTGTGCACAAGATCGCGTATCCGTATGTCGCGCCTCGGTGTCCAAGCGGACGTGCACGTACGTATTCGTCGATCGTGAGCCGAGCCACACCTCGCCGACGACGTCGACCGGGCGGCTGCGCAAATCCCGCAAACGGAGACTCACGCTCGCTCGGCTGGGGCGGCGGCCGGGGAAGAGGTTCAGCAAGTGGGAGACCACGGCGGTCTTGCCCGTCCCGGGAGGCGCGATGCCGAACACCAGCTGCGGTCCTTGGGAAACCCATTGGTAGGTGGAGGACAAGAAAACATTGACCATGACCAAGGTTGACCGCGGAAACATCGGTGTAGATCAGCGTCGACACGATCCAGCGACATTCTGGCAATCTTGGTCATTGTCATTGTTTTCTTCCCTCGAAAGAGGAACTGCTGATGTGCAAAATCCATGGATGTCTTTATCTAGGTCGAAATGTCGCACCTTGCGATGCGCCACGCGCGGTGATCTCCGCGTCCTTGTGCCACCGCCTTGCAGACGGGCACGTTTGCGGTCCAGGCCCCGATACGCGCGGAACGATCATCTTGGCACACCCGGCGTTTCACAATGTCTCGCCCCACGGGGGGTCAGCTCTGGCCTACGAGCAAGAATGTACTTAGCATCATGCGAATGCGGGTAACACTGAAGGGCCGGCTTGGACGTCGGCAGTCTGCAAGGCTCTGAAAGAGCTCGCAGCCAGCGCCGAACTCTTACAAATTATGCAATAAGCCCGCAGCAAGCGCCGATTTGTTTGTTAAAACAACGTGGGCGGGTCGCGGGGTGGGTCGGCCGTGGGTCGCGGGCCATGTCGCGGATGGGTCGAGGGCGGGTCGCCGGGTGGGTCACGGGCGGGTCGCGAGTGGGTCGCTGGGTTGATCGCGGTTGGGTCGCAAGGTGGTCGCGGGTGGGTCGCGGGTGGGTCGCGGGCCGGGTGGCAGGTGGGTCGCGTTTGGGTCGCGGGGGGGGACAACAACAACAAGGCATCAACGCCTACGTGTGCCCTTTTTCCCAGCGGCACAAGGGTCCGATCACTCAATTTGCATGACCAGACTCCTGTGCCCCTCCCCGCCCACGAAGGGGAGCGGCCAGCAGCCAGCAGCTACCATCCAGCACTCATACAAACAACGAACCAAATAATCCACAGGAAGGCACATAGGGGTCAACTGGGCCCTGCCTTCGCCAAACGCTTGCCCGCGAACGAAGCGACGCCGCTGTTTGCCTCCTCTCATCGGATCCTATTGGTGGCTTTCATGGGGTCCTATTAAAGATGGATGGAGCTCACATGGGGTCAGATTAAAGATGGGTGGGGCTCTAATAGAATGCGATTATGGATGGATGGAGACCGACTAAGACCCGATTGGCGATGGATGGGGCCTTGATAGGTTCCTATGAGGGATGGATGAAGCTCTACTCGGATCCGACTAGGGATAGATGCCGCTCTAATCGGATCCTGCCAGGGATGGACGGAGCTCTGATAGGACCCTACTAGAAACGGATGGAGCCCCAATGTTTCGCATCAAGGGTGGATGGAGCTCTATCAGGATCCGATCAGAGATGGATGGAGCTCTAATAGCATCCGATGAGAGACGAATGAAGCACGAATCTGATAATATTAGGGATGGATGGAGCTCACATAGGAACCAATTAGGGATGGAGTAGAGGAGCTCGAATGGGATCCGATTAGTATGGATGAAGCTTGAACAGGGTCCTGTTAGAGATGGATGGAGCTCGACTGGAGTCCTGGAGTACATGGAGCTCTGATAGGATCCTGCCAGGGATGGAGGGAGCTTGATCAGGAACATATGGATGGAGCTCTAAGAAGATGCGAGCCGTAGTAGTAGTAGTAGTAGTAGTAGTAGTAGTAGTAGTAGTAGTAGTAGTACTAGTAGTAGTAGTAGTAGTAGTAGTAGTAGTAGTAGTAGGACTAGTA